GGGCTGGCGCGCGGGGAGGCCACGGTGCTGCGCCGAGGGAGCGCCCGCCGGGTTAGTTCTCCGGCCGACACGGGCCCGGCCTGTCCGACCTCGTGCTCTGGGAGAGCAGCGGCATATAATAGGTCTGACAAAACGAACGGAAAGGTTGGCCAAGCCCCTTAATACAGGCTTTTCCCCATTTTTCATTAACTGAAATGTTAATGAACCTCTTGACATTGACACTGAATTTTCTAGGAAATACGTGCTAGAAAAGGAAAGAATGACGTTGTCTCAGGACTGACGTCCTGTCCAGGAACTCGGTTTCACCCAGGGGGTCCTTGTTTTCCTCTGCCCCCACCTTTGCCACATGAACATCTAAGACACATGCACTCCCCAAACACACCTTGCCACAACATGGCACCATCTTTTTTCCTTTACGAGGCTGCTAAAATGGGCTGCCAGAGCAGAACGCGCTCTTTGGCATCTACCCAAAACACAGATTTTAAACTTCGGTAACCCAACAGAAAACCCGAAAGCTAATCTCACCGAACGGCTCAAAGGCACGGCTCTTCGTTGAGACGATTTCCCAGTCAAGCCTTTACTTTCTCACACCACTGCTCCAGGACGATTGTGGTTCAGAGTACAGACTTTTCTTGGCTAGTGATCTAAGTTCTAGTGATGATTGCATTCTCTTTATGCAATTTTTTGTTAATTCTAAGGCACAGAAAAAAAAAAAATCACCCTTAGACATTCTTGCCAGATCTAAAATTATCAGCTTGATAGGTGAAAGGTTTGGAAAGAGAGAGGTGATGAGAAACAGGTTATGACAGAAGCATGCGACGTTCGATGAGCAGACACTAGCACTCTATCTGTAACTCGTGGGAATTATGCTCCTACTGCTGCAAACAGTTCTGCTCTGTTGCCATTGTGAAAATAAAATACCGCAGCAGATGACTGCTCTTTGGGAAAGGAAAGCAGAATGTCAAATACCTTATGCAGGACAGATGCAGCCCGCTCCTGTGCCCTCCTTCCTTGAATTATTGTTTCCCAAGTATGGGACAGAGCGATGGTTTGAGCCAGGGTTGTGCCAGACTGCCCAGTTTTTATTACTTGCTTCTCATAGAATGGATGAAAAGATACCAGGGAAGAGGTCACTTCGTTCATCACATTTGTCTGTGCCAGAGGCCTTTACAAATGTTTCATTCTTCAAGTCAATGTGCTTGAGAGACATTCTCAGTTAAAGAAATCTTGCTAGGGAAGGAGCTTCAGGAGGAAACTCATCAGTTTTCTTCAGGCTCCCTCCTTTCCCCAGTGCTCTCAGTGCTTACACCTAGCACATTACAACAGGCAAAGAGATTAAGCCAGAGATTCCTGAAATCTAGTCCTCTGAGTCTAGTCTGAATTCCTAGAAAGCTCATTAAAATTCCTGGAAAGTGCAGGAAAACTCCTAGGAGACACTTCCTAATTCCTAGAAAGCACATGGAAATTCCTAGAAAGCGTGCCAAAATTAAGCAAAAGCACACTGAAATTCCTAGAAAGCATCAGGATATTCCTTAGAAAACACTGGTCAACTCCTAAAAGGCAAACGAAAAACTCTTTGGAAGCATCCCATAATTTCTAGAGGGTAGTCTGAATTCCTGCCTGTCCAAATGCCTAGAAGGCACCAGGGAATTCCTAGAAAGCATGAGAAAATCCTAAACAGCACTAGAGAATTCCTAAAAAGTGCTGGAAAATTTATATTCTAGTCATTAAGTGGTATGCTTATTGCTCTCTATTATTTTAACAACTGGCATGCACATTGGTGGTGTAGTTACTGTAAGCATTATTAAACGGTCAGTTAGGTAAGCAATCTAGCTGGTAACAGGAATGTCTTGTTTTGGTGATTTGTATACTAAACATAGGCCTTTATGTTTATAAAAAAATATGCTTATATACACAAAACTTCTATATTTAGTATGCAAAGAGTAGATACACTATTAGCTAAAGAGCAGAAGGTTTCTTCTGTTATATATGCTTCTATAGAGAGTTCCCAATATTAAACCTTATATATTTGAATTTTACCATACTAGACTTTATTCGTTATTTAGTCCATTCCAAATGAGTGGGAGGGCCCAACCAGCTCCCGTCAGGCTAGGTCTCGCTACCGGCTGCAGCACAGGCTGTGTTGGGAGAGGTGTCACCCTACCGCCCATGGGTGCAGGCACACACCCAGGCACTCCGCAGGTGAAGAGCATGGCCACTGTCCCAGCCAGAAGGAAAGCACTGCCCGGGGGCCCTGGCCGTTTATAAAAATAGCTCACCGCTGCTGGATTTGCAGTCATCTAGCTGGGCTCGTTCTTCCTCCAGCCAAACAAAGGCGATGGTACGGCGAACGCTACAGACTGGCTTCGATCAGATCGCTGCATTTCCAGCACCTTGCAAAACTGAGGTGGTCTCTCCTCCTTCGATTTGTTACCTTTCCCTCTGTAACTCTAAAGGAATAAATGACACTTTTAGAGAGCGATCCCAAGGTTTGGGAGCAGACCAGCTACAGCTATCCTCATTATTTGCAGTAACAGCTAGAATATCCTCTGCTTCCTCTCTCTTGTTTAACTTTGGTGACAATTAGGCACTGCCAATGAGGAAAGAGAGAGAGAGATTATCTGCTGATTTTCTCCTTTCTGCATCTTCAGGACGACATACATCTAGCTGGCCTTCTCCTCTGAAGAGCTAAACCTCACTGACATTGTGACCTTAGCACAGAACTTAAGGCTCAAAGGTAGCGGGAAAGGGTCTGTGAGGCCTGGGCTTTGCTGTATTGGTCATATTTTTTTCTTTGTTTTCTCTATTCTCTGCAGAAGTCTCCTTCCAGTGGGCACACAGGCTAGCGTGCAAATGTTGCTTTGCATAGGCTTTGCCACGCTCCTAAGGTGCTTGAGCAGAGACAATATTTCCAGGAGATTGCTGCCTTGGGGTGAGCACTGACCCACCTCTGGCTGGTGTAGGGTGTGGAAGACGCAAAGCTTGTGCCTCAAGTCAGCCATCCTCAGAGAAACTGGCAGAGTCAGGGCATCTCAGGTCAAGGAGAAAGTCCAGGCAGGTCAAAGCCCCAAGTGAGCCAACAGGCCTCCCCCCCCACCCACACGC